CTTCAGTAATATACTACTAGCAATTATGTTTACTTATGCAGTTATGGTGGTAATGTGATTTTCAAAATGGATATTAAGAAGGTCTTTGATACTATTAGATGGGAATTTAACTTGGATGTGCTTCATGATATTGGCTTTCAGGATGATTTTTGTAATCTCATTAGTGGAATTCTTAATAATAATTATTATTCTATTTTGATTAAAAATAGGGCTTGTGGCTTCTTTAAAGCCTATAGAGCGATTAAACAAGGTGATCTACTGTCCCCTTATCTTTTTTTTATCATTATCTTTTTTTATTTATCCAAATGTTTAAATAATTTGTTTTCAAAGTACCCTAACATGTATTATTATAATAGAGGTATGGTTGGCATCTCTCGTTTGAGCTTTGCTGGTGATTTAATTATTTTTTCTAATGCCAACAAAAGATCTATTAGGAAAGTTTGGAATGGAGTTCTCCACTTTCAAGAGATTTCTAGTATGAGGTTCAATTCTTCCAAATGTCATATTTATTGCTCTAAGCATATTTCTCATGTAAAGAAATATTGGTTGGACCATACCAATTGTAACAAAGCCAATCTTCCTTTGGTTTATTTGGGTTTTACTTTGGATAAAAATGGTAAGTGAAAAGCTCTGTTCTTGACTTTATTTGACAAAATAAAGAACAAAATACTTTCTTGGGAGAGTAAGTTCCTTTCATTTGGTGGGAGGATTACTATCCTTAAGAGTATTCTCACTTCTATTCTTCTATATATTATGCAAGTATTCTCACTTCTATTCCTCTATATTATTATAGATTGGAAGCTTTATTTAATAAATTTTTGTGGGATACTAATAATAAGCATAATTTGCATTGGAAAAACTGAAATAAGCTTTGTAAACCTCTGGCTAAAGGAGGACTTGGCTTTAGAAGTTTGAAAGATATTATTCATATAAATTATATGAAACTTTGGTAGGTTTAAGAAGAATGATACTATCGGAGCCTCCCTTTTGCTTGCTAAATATTGTAATAATACTAATCCTATTGCCGCTGCCTCTTCCAATTTTGACACTTATATTTGGAAAGGGATGCTTAAAGTCTCTAAAACTACTGAAATGCTTATTAATTAGGACATTGGTAGTGGGAATGCTTCCTTTTGGTATGATGATTGGTTGCAAAAAAGTGCTCTTATGGATTGCTATGGTAGACCACAGGATATCAATATTAAAGTGAAAGATTTTTGGACAAGTAATACTTGGAATTATGATGAATTGAAACAAATTTTATTGTTTGATTATGCTAAAATTTATATCTAAGATTCCCATCAATAATACGAGTAAGGACCTTCCTAAAATTAAAGATAAAATTAGAGACAATTGCTAAATCCTTTGCTAACTCTTTTTAAGTTTTTCGGGGTATTGATCTTCATCGGATCTAGAACTCTTGGGTGAAGCCATCTTTATCTTTTTTCATTTGGAGGATTTTTCATAAATTCCTTCCTATTGATGATATACTAAAATTAAAAGGACTCGAAATTGTTTCTTGTTACTTATTTTGTAGGGAAGAGGAAGAATCTATTAACCATTTGTTTATTAGTTGTAGGTTTGTTGAGAGTAGTTGGAGTAAGGAATTTGCCTTTTTTAAGAGAAGCTGGAATGCAGGTATCTATCAAGAAGTGGATGACATATTTAAGGATTAGAGAACTCTTGGTCATGCAATCTTTTCCAACATTCCTTCTGTTTTTCTTTGGTTTATTTGATTTACTCATAACAATGTTAAATTTAAGGATGAGATACCAAATCTCAATAAAACATTTGGTATGATCGTCAGTTATTTGGTCAATAGCCTCACTTTTAATGGTTTTAAATGCAGATATAATAATAGAATTAAAAATATCTTCCTTAATTTGAATGTTTTTGACACACATACTGCTAGTCCTAATCTTGTTGTGAATTGGTTGGAGCCGACTGCTACCTATGGATGCGAGTTGGAATGATAATAAAGCTAGTATTGGAGGAGTATGCAAGAATTTTCTCGGATTGGCCATTTATTGGTTTACTACAGCTGCTATTCCAATCTCGCCTAGTGTGGCTGAAGCGGATGTAAGGTTTTTGGACTTGTGATTGCTAGGAAGAAAAGTTGGAAATACGTTAAACTTGAAACCGATTCCTTATTATTGTGACAGTATTGCAATGCTGAGAAAGATCCACATTGGAGTATCAACTTTCGAATGAAAAGAATTGCTGAGATGTACAAGAATTTATGCATCAAATGGTACATACTAAAAGAGAAGGAAATAAGATTGCTCATTGAGCGGCTAAATTGGGGAGTTCTTTTAACTTGGCTGTTGTTTCTAATCAGTTTCCTAGGGACCTTAATCGGCTTTTGTTGATGGACTTACTTTAGCTTTCGTTGTTGCTTACTTTCCGTATGTTGATTTTCTTGTTTCTGTTTTCCCGTGTTGTTTTTTTTTCTTTGAGGTGAGTTATATTTTCTTTTCTGGAAAGAGGGACCTTAGTTTTTATCTTTTTAAGTGAGTTGTATGGGGTGTGCAGTTGGTAACTCTTTTCCATTTTTGTATTTTTTATTAGTGGAATAAAATTAAGAAGTAGAATAATACTCTTTTATAAAATAAAAATAACCAAATGAAATGAAATGTAAGAAATTGTGATGATTAGTAAGAATAATTTTCTACTCATTGATCCAAACGAGTATAAGTTAAAATGAGTGTTGGTGAAATTTTGTGCCTGATTGAATCATCTTTCTTTGTTACATCTTTGGTTAACCTAAGGGGATTGACTAGGGTGTGACAGGTGGCCTCCAAGTTGGGGGTGGAGGATTGAGGATGGTAAGATGTTTAGATTGGATGGGATGAGAAGTTGGATTGGATACATATATAAGTTTAAGTTGAGAGTTTGAGACATTTGTTGAAGCCAGTGTAGTGTAGAAGTTGGGGTGGACCACTATAATTTTGGTCGGGTGACAACTGCTCATGATGAGAAGATAAAATTTATATTAGATAATGGAGCTTCAAATGCTGGCTTGGCTAAAAGAAAGGTTGATACCAAAGTGAGAGACAGAGCAGTAGATGATTGTTTGAGAGATTAGCTCTATGCAAACAACGGGTTGTCGAATGACCTAGTTTATTACAATATTCACATAATATAAGAGGGTTACAGGATTGCCGACCTAGTCTGGGTTGATGAATGCCATCCTAATTTGAAAGTATCAAGGCTATGACATCTCCTAATGATAGTTTGACTGAAAGAACAAACTCTTCCACAGCACGTGACTCTTACACAGCACGTGGTGTCTGAGAATTGCCATGTGATTGTTACTTTTTGTAAAGAGTGAAAGTTACATGCCATTACATTTGATAGATTGATTTCCTCACTAGAAACAAAGAAGTAGTGGATAAATAGTTAATAATTTTCTTCGAATAACAATTTTGAATTCTTAGGCCTAGTTTGAGAGAATGTTTCATCTCTTTTGCAGTTTTGCAATAATAGAGAAAACGGAGTTCTGTTTGGACAAGGATTTTCTCCGAACGTTTCTTCCACCGCAACGGCAAATGTTCTCATTTTGAAATGCGAACCAAGGATGGCTTCGTGACCTACGTTCCGCGTTTGATAGTGAAAATATCCAAAATATCCCGAGTACCTCAGTTACAATTTTGAATGCTTAGGCCTAGTTTGAGACAATGTGAAAGATGTGGGGTTGGTACTTTTAGGGGCTCAACTTTTAGGGTTCCTAGTTTGAGACTGTGAAATATCCACCCCAAGAATGCTTAGGCCTAGTTTAAGGGACTCAACTTTTAGGGTTCCTAGTTGTGGGGTTGGTACTTTTGATCATGATATGGACATAGAAAATTTTAGTGCTTTACTTGGTAAATCCCTTGCCCCATCTCTTGTGCCACCCACTCTGGAAGTTGGAATTTTCAGTGCCTCTAGAGCTATGCCTGGGTGAAATATATGTCAACCCATTGAGGGTCTGACAATTACTCATTCCATTTCTTCTCTGTGATAATGTATCCGTGCTCACCAACGCTACATCTGATGGCTCTAAAATAGAGGTAGTTGATGATTCAAGCGCAATCTAGTTTTGTCTTAAAAAAATTTTAGGCATAACCATACTGATTGCTTCAAAGCCCATAAATAATTAAGGGACTCAACTTTTAGGGTTGTGGGGTTGGTACTTTTGATCATGGTATGGACATTGAAAATTTTAGTGCTTTACTTGGTATAACCCTTGCCCCATCTCTTGAGCTACCCACTCTGAAAGTTGGAACTTCCAGTGCCTCTAGAGCTATGCCTGGGTGAAATATATGTCAACCATTGAGGGGCTGACAATTACTCATTCCATTTCTTCTCCGTGATAATATATCCGTGCTCACCAACGCTACATCTGATGGAACTAAAATAGAGGTAGTTGATGATTCAAGCTCAATCTAGTTTCAAGTTTCTATCAAGAGCTCATCTGATTTAATGGATAATAGCTTCCAGCTGGAATTCTCTTGCTCAAGTATTAAGTGAAAAAATAATGTCGTCTTTCTCGATTCACTTAGATATACTAGATTCTAAATTAGATGCAACAACTCTCCTAATGATATTGACAATTTGGAGTTAGTAGGCGTCAGAATGTTAGTGTGCTTTTGTCCATATGACAAACAATAGTTGCTTCGTTTTAATCCATTTTTATCCTATATATTTTGCATTTCCTACTCCCATAGCATTGTAACTGCTTGTTCATAAAACATTTTTAATGGTGTGCTATAAAATTTCGTTGCCTTAAAGAAATTTGAGGTGTGGCAAAAAATCCAATGGATTGAAAATGAAAAATATTTCTTAGATAAATTGATAGGAAAATGGTATTGGAAACCGCAAATATCTGGCACTATGCAAAAAATATCTCATTTTTATGCGATTTTCTTTATTGTGTCTCGCACTAAGCAGCAAATTTCTTGGTAGACTGTTCTCTCATAAATGAAAAAAAGGTTAGTTGCAAAAAAAGAAAAACAACGTACTGTTCCGGCAGCAGATTTTGATGAAATGAAGGTGTGTTCTTTCAATCTAGACAACCCAAAATCGCATACCTACACACATTGAGAAAAAAAAATCCACTTACTAGAGCAATACAAAACATCAACTGATACCTCAATCTGTGCAGGCTGTACCTTCACCGACCAGTTCTTGTCAACCAAAAGATTAGGAGATTTAAGATCCCAGTGAACAATTGAAGGGTTAAGGCAGTGAAGATAATTAACTCCCTTGGCCTGCTCCCATATCCAACTTCATTAAAGTAAAACAAATTTTTGAAAAGAAGATAAAACTGATAGTTATGGACGAACCACATCCAGTGCCATTCGCAGTCTTCGTCTTCTGTCCAATAATTCTCCAGCATTTGCTTTGCTTAGAAGGTGGTAAAGACTGCCCCTGTTTTGCAAAATCTAGACATCTCAGAAGACAATATTTAGCAGTAAAATACATATATGAAAGAATGCTCACATACTTGCCTGGGCAGATATTCTGTTACAATAGAAAGATGTGGCCGCTTCGTGACTGCACCCATGAATAAAACCAAATTTGGATGACGAACCCGGTTCATTATTGCGACCTAGAAATGATTCCACTCAGACGATAAATGGAAAATGAAGCTACATGGCAGCAGTAAAATTCATTACAACAACAATAAGACTTTATCCCACTAAGTGGGAATCAGTAAAATTCATTATGATAGAAAAAGCATAGTAACTTAATACAGGAAGAGTTCTATTTCATTTACTTGCGTTTAGTTGATTCATAAGAACCCTGGAAAACCCAGAAATCCTCAATACATCCTACTGTTGGGTTATCAATGATACCGGAACAAGTTAAAAACTCCGCGGGAACGGAAAAAAACAAACTTCTATTAATCTTGAAATAGGGTTACAACACGACACAAATGGAAACGAGAAACACAATCGTTGGGTTATCAATGATACCGGAACAAGTTAGAAACTCAGCGGAAACACAAAAAACAAACTATTATTAATCTTGAAATATGGTTACAACACGACACAAATGGAAACGAGAAATACAATAACAACTAATCTAAGATTAAGCCGGAAGAGAATACCCGAAGATCATGGTGGTGTCCGCAAAACGGTAAGGGGAAAGGGGAAAAAGTAAAGGTTGAGGCTGTAGGGTAGGTTAAAGGGGTGATGGTGGATGGAGAACGAGTCGGACAGCAAGGAGACCGGCAGTAGGTAGGCTGACTCCGCATAGATATTGGTGGGGGAGGGCTGGACAGCAGGTTACATCTAAGGAAGGGTGGCGGCAGAGTGGCTGGATGTGGTAGAGAGGCTGGCAACTAGGAAAAGTGGAGGGGAAAGAGCTGGACAACAAGAGAAGAAGGTTGGGAAGGTGCGGCAGATGCTGGAAGAGGCTGCCCACAGGTTTGTTGAGTACATCTGGCGGCTGGAAAGTTTAGGAATGTTGGAAGAGAGGATATTTGGAATAATACAATATCACCTTGGAGCAGGATATAGCAGAAGCACCACCCGTAATTGGACATAGCCCTAGCAGGGATAGGAGAACACTCCAAGAAGAATTTTGAAACAAACTCTTCTCTGAAACAAAACACGAGAAAAAACTGAACCCTACATCCAAAAAACAACAATTTATACTCTCACATGGAGATGAAAATGAAAAATATATGAAAAAACTCCCGCATAAAAAGAAAAAAGTGGGACGACAGGAAAAATCCAAAAAAACAGCCATTAGAGACCTTCCCATATGGAGAGCAACACATAAGAAAAGAAAAAGGAAGGGGCAGTAGTCCCTCCCCGTAAAAATGCCAACTGGTCCACTAGCTTGGTGTTAGGGCTTGCGAGATTTCTTTCCAGTCTGCTCAGTCGGCTGGCTCCCCTAGCCCTACATCAGTTTCCCGAGATTAGGGAAGCTTCGATTTCATTCGTCCAAGCTTCTGACTTCTCGAAGTACGGCGTCAGGTTGATGAGATTAAACGTGGTTAACACGTTGTAATCCCTGGGCAGGTTGATCTTATAAGTGTTGTCGTTCAGCTTTCGAAGTACTCCGAAAGATCCATCTGTTCTGAGCTTAAGTTTCCTGAACGCCCCTACTAGAAATATTCCCTTCTTCAACCGAATCCATACAAGGTCGCCTTTCTAGAACGTCCCTTTCTTCCTAGATTTATTCGCCTGTGCCTGAAATTTGTGGTTCAGTTTAGCAAACTCCTTGTCAACCTCGTCGGGGAGTTTCTGAACCTTGTGAACTTGCTCATTGGCATCATGGTTGACTTCTAAAGTTGGCAGAAGTGGCACCAAATCAAGTGGTCTGAGTAGATTGCGACCATACGCAGCCTCGAAGGGAATGAGTCCACTAATCTGGTTGGTGGATCAATTATAGACGAATTCCCCACCAAACACCTCAAGAAGTTGTCAAGTCTCTTGTTTACTACCTTTCTGTCCGATTGTCTGTGGATGAGCTGCTATACTAAATTGGATCTTGATGCCTTGCTTTTCCCATAGCGCCTTCCAGAAGTCGCTAGAGAATTTGATGTCTCTATTGGAGGTGATGGTTCTTGGAAGTCCACACAACCTTAAAATCTACCTAAAGTACAGATCGACGATGTGAGACGAGTCTAGTGTCCAATAGCTGGGTACAAAGTAAGCTATTTTGGAGAACATGTCTACCACAACCAATATGGAGTCCTTATTCAAGTCCCACCACGTAATCCACCATGACATCCACCCATAGTGCCTCTGGTAATGGAAGTGGCATGTACAATCCCGTGTTCTGCCCTGTCAAGTCCCGCACTACCTGACATGTCGCTCCACATATTTCCTCAGTCAGGGCCAAAAGAAATGCTTTCTTACTAGGGCGAAAGTCTTGTCAATGCCGAAGTGGCTTGCTAATCCTCCATAGCGGCTCATCTGGCCAATGTCCTCTCTAAGTGAACACCTGAGAATGCACAACAGACTCTGTTGGAACAAGTATCCATTTGCTCGGTTATATTGCCATGTTGGCTGCCCCTGACATTGCTCCCAAATGTCCTTAAAGTCCTCATCTACTTCGTACAAATTCATTATGACCTTAAAACCCACAAATTGAGCCTGCATAGATGTGATTAGCAAATGTCGACGACTTAGAGCATCTGCTATGCGGTTTTGGTTTTCCGCCTTGTGCGTAAGCACAAACTTGAATGAGACTAAAAATTCTACTCAGGTAGCATGTCGACCCTTCAGTTTGTTCTGCTGTTGATAAATTTTAAGGCCCCGTGATCCGTAAACAATGTGAACTCGCTCGCAGCATGTAATGACTCCAGTGCTCCATAGCTTTCACAATGGCCTAGAAGTCCTTGTTGTAAGTCGAGTATTTCCTCCTTGACTCATTTAGCTTTTAAAGAAAGTGATGGGGCATTCTCCATGGCTCAGCATTGCTCCTATCCCCACACCGAATGCTTCACATGCTACCTCAAAAAGTTGGTCGAAGTCTGACAATGCTTGCAGAGGCGCTCGGGCCACATTTTTCTTCAGTGTGTAAAGACTGTCCCGAACTGCTGCTGTCCAAGTAAACTCCTTCCCTTTCAAAAGTTCCCTGATGAATCTCCGGTAAAATGATGCAAGGCCCAAAAATTGCCTCAGCTCGATGAACGACTGTAGTGCGTTCGAGTTGATACTGACCTCTATTTTTGCTGAATCCATCTGAATGCCTACACTATATATGATATAACACAGAAAAACATACATTGTTAATCATGAAATGACATTAGTTCAAATGGGTACATAGTTGTTTGGCTCTCAGTACCTTAAATAATGCCTTCAATGATGCAAGTGATCATCCTCTGATCGGCTATATACCAAAATATCATTAACGTAGAAAACAACAAACTTTCTAATGTGAGCTGGAAATATCTGGTTCATCAATCTCATTAAAGTGTGGGGTGCATTTGAAATGTCGAAAGACATAACGATCCACTCATAAAACCCATCCGGTGTATTGAAAGAGGTCTTCCACTCGTCTCCTAGCACCATCAATCTCATTAATACCTGGTTCATCAATCTCATCAAAGTGTGGGGTGCATTTGAAATGTCGAAAGACATAACGATCTACTTATAAAACCCATCTGGTGGCTTGAAAGAGGTCTTCCACTCGTCTCCTAGCATCATCCGTACCTGGAGGCACCCACTGGGTAAAACGATCATAGAGAAGATAATGGCTCTGTGTAACTAGACGAAGATATCATCCAAACGGGGTATGGAAAATCAATATTTGATGGTGATCGTGTTGATGGCCCGACTATCGATGCGCATCCATCACAACCCATCCTTCTTTAGCACCATCAGAGCTTGAACAACAAGCAGGCTGGTGCTTGATGACTAGTTCCCTCGCAATGAGATCCGACACCTATCTTTACTCTGTAGGTCTCAATATGTAGACGGGTCTGTTTGGCAATATTGCGTGTTGGGTGTTCCTCAGTGGCCGTAACTCCTCTGGTAGACTGTCAATTATAACATCCTTGAAGTCCTGCAGTAATGGTCACAGTAATGCTGGTACCTCACTTTCCTCCTTTGTTCCCACCACGAGGACTAATGCTAGTGCTACTAGGCATCTCTAATTGACTGCAGAAAAGTGGCCCGAGTAACTAATGTTTCCTCTATATTAATCCCGCCTTTCACAACCGATAGCAAAATGGTATGTTTCCCATTCTTCTTCAGGAATAAGTACTCGTGCAGAGTCTTGCAGTCAATCTGTCAAGTCCTACCCAATAGAAGGTGGCAAGCGTCCATAGAAATTAGATCGCACCATGCTTGTTCCTATAGCTTATCCTCGATGGAAAAATAAACTAGGCACTGCTGGTTTACATAAATCTCATTTTCCTTCTTCAGCCAGGAAAGAGAATGTGATTGGGGATGCTTCTGCGTGTCCAATTCCAACGTCTTCACCATAAGCGTGCACACTGCCAATTTTTCCCAGCTCCCACTGTCGATAATAAAGCTGTAAACATTGCCCTTGGCGGTGCCCTTGGTGCAAAAAATACTATGCCTCAACATAGATTGGTCCCACTTTGGCTCGTACTGCAAAACTTGTCAAATGACACTTCTCCCTCTTCGTCGTGTCGCTGAAGATCTTAATCTGGAGTATCCTCTGACTTCTCGTCGACTTCCTCGACGGCGCCAAGGTATGTGAGTGTAATGACCTGGCTTGTAGGGCAGTTGGAGGCTGCTATGTGACCATAGTTGTGGCACATAGTACACTTCCTATCCAACACTGTGTTGGAGGAGCTACATCTCTCCAACCTTTTCCCACACTGATCTGCCTTATCAGTTCCCTGTCCAACTTTCTATTTTCCTCTCGAAGTACTCTTATCTACTGTAGAAGCCGCAACTAACTACTTCATTGAAGGTGGTGGCCATAAGGATGACTGCTGCTTGTTTTGCTTATGTGACTCTCCACCTTCAAGGCTAATGTTTGGACATCCCCAGCAACCAGAATGGTTGTCCAAACACTAGCCTTGAAGGTACGGTGGAGGGGGCTGGACAGGAGGTTACACTTAAGGAAGGGTGCAGTCAGGGTGGCTTGATATGGTTGGGAGCTAGTGACTAGGGAAAG